TGAAGTTTTTTTAATGAAGCTTAGAGTCATTAGCCTCTCTACTTGGGCAATAATGGAGTATAGTTATAGCACCTCTTTAAAGTCAGTGCTCTCCTCCTGTAGTGACTTTCACACTTCAGGTTCTGGGACACAGAACAATGGATTTCATTCATCACTACCAGTGAGATGAACCACACTCTTTGCTGCTGTGCATCAGTTAATAACCTGGATGCAGCAATACTGTGTAATTGGGACAGTGGTGATCCACAGGGAACATAGTCATGAAACTCTCTGCTGGTGTGTTTTTGATCTTTAGCTCATGGTTGTTAGCTCATCTGGCTAAGAGGTTGTACACAGGAGTGTTGGGGGTTGGGGGGGAATTTTACTCTTTCCCTCAGTGGAGAATTTTTCCCATTATTCATGCTAAGGAAGTCGGCCGGGCGACTCCCTTAGCTTTTAATTGCTCAAGAAAGGAATTGGTGGGGGCTGTCTTCTTGGCTCGATTGCTGGTGGGATTTAGGGGGTCTGGGTGGCTGGTTGCTTTTTCCTTCCTTGGGACACACGTCGGTCCAAACACCGAGGAGAGAGGTTTCTCTGTGGTTGGATTTGCCCTTCAGCCCTGCACTGCTACCGCCTCCTGCTTCTGAGAACAGCGCTGAGCACCCAGACCCAAATTGTGAGTGGGGTCTTCTTCACCCTTCTCCCACCTGGGACATGGCCCTGCCGCCTCCACCTCCCTTTTCTCGCCTGCTGCTGCTGCGGCTGCGAGGGGCTGCCCTGCTCTACACCAAGACTGTGAGGAGGAGAAGAGTGTCTGCAAATGGAAAAGGGACTGGAACTGAGTTATTTGTTCTGTTCTGTCACTGATTTTCATAGATGAAGTTGTTCTCGTTTGTCTTGTAGATATATCAGTAAAGAATTGTTATTCCTAAACCCATACCTTTTCCTGAGAGCCCCTTAATTTTCAAATTATAGTAAACTGGGAGCGGGGAGGGGATTTTCACTCTCCATTTCAGGAAAAGCTCCTGCCTTTTTTTTCTTGGCAGTACCTGTCCCCTAAACCAGGACAAGGAGTTTGAGGGAACAAAGTGAAAAAGGTGCATCCTGTTGAAATTATAAACAAGTGTGGTTAGGGAGAATGTGAATTTTTTCAAGCATGAGGAGTTCACTCATGTTCCTGGAAGAAGCACCACAGAATTTTTAATGATCAGGACCTCAGTACTACATCTTGTCCAGTTGCTGGCACATTCAGAGCAAAGCACTCCCTCTCACTACAAACAGGGCACTAATTCCCAGTCAAAAGGAAGAGTGCCATTCACTGAATTCACTTCCAGGCAATGAGCCAGGCAAATCCAACTTGGCTTCAAGGTCAAAAGTCAGCAGAGATAGCAGAGGTGTTGTAGTTAATGACTGTGTGCTGCTCCTAACCTTCTGACCAGAAGTCACTGGTAGCTGTGTTTGATAATGAGGATAGCATTTACCTAGATGAAATCAACTAATATATATACAAGCAACATGAAAAAACATTGTGTATTTACATTTTTACTGCAGAAAAATGAGGATGATGATTTGCTGTGCACTGAGCTAAATGTGCAGGTTGTGGGTATTGCATTTTGATGTATCAGATGCACAACCTTTCCTTAGATGTAATTTGTATGAATAATTTAGAGTTTAAGGGAAGGTTTTTTTGTTTCTTTCCATTTGTGTTTGTTAAAGTAACATCAGCCTCATAGTGCTTGGCATGGATTCTTCAAAACACAGCTGGAAATGCCACAAAAGCTAATAATTCAACTACATTTTGCTGTATAATAAACCAATCATCACATTAGTTATATTGAAACATGCAGCATCAACCAAACATGGTTATTTGCTCATCTGAATTTCAGCAGCACAAAGACATTTGGAGGCACTTGTGTTGTGTGTTGTTCTACTTGCCTGCAGCAGCAAAAAGCGCTCTTTTTCATAAAACTTCAGTGAAGGTCACCTATTACAAGAGACTGGGACCTTTGTAATCACTATCAATTGCTGGCCTTTGCTTGTTTCTTAGTATAAAATCTTAGTCAAGATTGGTGCTTGTGGTGTCTTTTCCCTTGGTCATTTGAAATGTGTATCTGTTTTCCCTTTGCGTTAAAAGGATTAGAAATATATCACATATGATATACTGCCAGTGTGTTGCCATCTACCTGCTATTGGAACACAATATTTTCCTTTGACAAATCATTTTGTGTTTGGCTCTTTTCAGAGAGAAAACCTTGTGGGAGTCGCATAAACAACACATTCCACATCTGGACCACTGGGAACAGTGTCCTGGGAGAAGTGTCTTGGGAATGGTGCTTGATATGAATACAGGCCACTATTTTTATGCTTGTTCTGCTTCTTCTTCAATGTCCACACACAGTCACACATTTGCATTTATACTCCATGCACATCAAGCCCATCCATTCTGTTTCAAACCTCTGCAAACCCATTTCTGGTCTCTGTGTTGAGTGGTTTCAAATGGGTGTTGCTGGCAATGGAAAAGGATCACATCAATGCCTCCAAAGGATTCTACTCTGTGGGGGTCCTTCTCAGGTTTAAAACAGAAAGACAGTTTAATCCCTTAAACTTTCAGCCCTCAGACAGCAGAAGTATCTTATTATCTCTGCTGCATGGGTGTTTTAAAACATATGTGAAAATTCAACAGAACACAGCAACATTTGCTCTGACAAGAAGCTGAATTCCGTATTATCCTATCCTATTTCCTCTTACAGCAGCTATGGATATTTAGTTTAAAAATAGGTCTTTTGACTTTTCCTAGAAAATCAATCCTTCCCGCCTTCGAACTATTTTAGCTTCTCTTCTGTGAATCCCCTCCATTTTTGTAATTTTTTTTTTCTGAAATATCTTTTATGTATTTTCCCTCAGCCACTGTTGCACATGGCGTCTATGCTTTATCATCAGGTTGTACTAAGCCTCAGTAAATGTGTTCCCTCATTGTGACTTTCAAAGTTTGTTGCCCCAACCAAAATCTGGAATGTGTATCATGCATTTCACCTTTTTAATTTACCTTCAAATTTTTTATTACTTGCTTCCCTCTCATTTGTTATCTGCCTTTGTGCATTGAAAATTCATTTAATAAACATGGCTTTTATTTTATTATTTGTAATAAAGTACCAGTGGCACAAAGTAAACCAGATCCACTTTCACACTACTGTTTTGTCGTTGAATAAGAGGCAGAGATCTTGTCTTAAAGAATTTGCTGTCCACATAGACAGGAGCAACAGAAGTTGGGAGAGTGTATATCACAATATACATTTTCCAGAGAGGAAATAAGGAGTAAAAGATGGATCAAATTAGGTGGTTTCCCAAAGAGTTTACTTGTCACAGAGAGCTGAATCCAGAATTTCTTCAGACCTAACTTGGGACCTTTACCTTACAACAATTTTCTTGTCAAAGCATCATTCTGTCACTTAATCTCTTGTAGGGTGACAGTGGATCTTGCAACACAAGTCTTTACACCACTAAAGTTCCACTTGTTTGTTTTTAAGTAGGATTTGATCGCTATTTAAGGAGTGCAAAAACTGTGTTATCCTCAGTATGATATATGAAAATACAACTTGGATTATTTTTGCTAGGAAATGTTATCTTGCAGCAAAGGAGAATGAGTGGAAGAGGTATTAGGATTAAAACTAAGTGGCTAAACTGTCTTGATATTTGTTACATCTCCATTCTAATATCTTTCCCACCCAAGCAAATGCCATTGCCTTTATCTGTAACTAAATTATTTATCTTGGCAAAGTGCTGAAGTCAAAGTGACAGCTTTGAAGAAAAAAGGTCATTTGATGAAGAACAGCATTTCCTTTTCTCTTGTTTGCAGTAGCATTATCATCAGTAAATTCCATGAAATCCCTTCAGAAATATCTAGACAAGACCAGAAAGGAAGAGTGCTAGAATACCATACCACTCCTCTTCCTGACTCCTAGATACCCTAGGTTCAATTCAGGTGTCCGTTTTTGATAGTTTTGGCTGGGCAGAGTTAATTTTCTTCACCTTGCTCTCCTGGAGAAGGCTGAATACCTGCTAGCCCATGGGAAACAGTGAATTAACTCCTTGTTGTGCTTTGCTTGTGCACGCAGCTTTTGCTTTCCCTATCAAACTCACAAGTTTACCAACTTTTACCCTTCCAGTTCTCCCCCTGATGCTACTGGTTGAGGAGTGAGCAAGCAACTCACTGTCTGGGGATTGGTTGCTGGCGGGGGTTAAACCACAACAACTTTAATTAAAATAAATGCACACGTTACTCATTCTCTTTTTCAAGTTTTCATTCTTTATTGCGACTTGAAATCACGAAGGTTTTTGCCAACAGTAATGGAATAGGTACAATAGAAGAGATCTAGCTGGTTGGGAGCTATATTAAAAATGCAGTACATAGATATATTAAAAATGGGGCAAAAATTGCTGACATAATGATAATTTTTTTAGTGTGTTTGGTTTTTTTCCCCCCAGGTATAGGTTTACATAGCAATAAAATCTAGTACCAGAATGCTCTTAGAAGAAATGAAGAAGATGTATTCATACGGAGTGTCAAGGGTGTCAGAAAACTGTGAAGTGAATGATTTTTTTGGCAGCAGTTTGAGACAGGCTATCGGTATGCCTCTAATTAGCCATACAAATACTCATTAATAGGAAATTATGTAAATATGAAAGAATAATAGTTTCACTAATAAGATGAAGTATTCTAAATGTTTCATGGGATACAAGCACAAGAACAGAGTTTAAACACAGTAATTTCATGACTACAAGGCGCACTGGATTATAAGGCACACTTCTGGGTGTTGGCAAATTTCCAAACTTTGTCCATATATAAGGTGCACTGGACTATAAGGTGCACTTTTTTTTTGCAGTGAGGAACTGCGCTGAGCGCAACAAAGTAATGAATTAGCAATGGAATCCTGTGATCGCGGGGTTTACTGGCAGGTGCTAAATAGCAAACATTTTTCACAGATTGGCATAGCCTTTAAACACAGCTCCAAGTGCCCTCCCCATGCCGTGGGCCCTGGCAGTCCCGCCCGCCCCTGGTGGGTGCCAGCTGGCGTGGCTCGGCTTCCACGGCATGGCTGCAGCTGGCAGGTTGGGGCTCCTGTGGCACTGCTGCGGCTTGGGGCTCAGCGCTCCCGCAGGGCCACCCCCACTCACGGCTCGGCGCTGCCGTGGGGCCATTCCCCCACGTGGCTCGCACTTCCGGGTTGGCAAATTTCCCAACTTTGCCCATATATAAGGCACACTGGACTATAAGGCGCGCTTCTGGGTTTCGATCATAATTTTAGTCAAAGGGGTGCGCCTTATAGTCATGAAATTACTGTAAATATGAAAATTTTCATGTCATGGACTGTAAAAGGATACAGCCTTTGAAGATCTTCCCAAGGTGTCCTTTTCAATGCTTGTTTTCTGGCTGGTTCTGTCAAGCTGAGGGTATTGTGAAAAGGAAAGATGTACAAACTGCCAGCCAGTTTTTGCTTTTAGAGATCTTTATTTTATTGCAGTAAAAAAGTCAAATTTGCTTTTTTGATTTGAATTTTTTTGGTAGCATTATTAGCATGACAGAGTGGAAAATAAATCTAACAAGGGTGGCAGGTAACAATTGATCATTATCCAATGTCAATCTCTTTTGATGGTCAGCAGACCAGATAAACTATAATAGTATAATAACCTCTGAATCAGATTCCAACAAGTACAATACTAAAAAAGTTTTTGTCACACTTTAGCTTTTTTTTTTGTTTTGTTTTTTTGTTTTGGTTTTTTTGGGGTTTTTTTTGGGTTTTTTTTTTGTTTCTTATGGTGTTCTACTCAAAGCCATGCAGGGACAGAGAATTATTAAGATAAAAATCAAAGCCCTCCTGGAGTTAGGCTCATCTGACTTTGTCTCCTATAATGTTGGAATATCTTGTCTTTAGCTGACACCTCACCAGCCAGCTATCATCTGGCCTCCCACTGACTGCTGAGTTGTTTGTAAAAACACATTTCTCTCAGCATATGATCTAGATGCTTTGGAGGGAAGAGGAATATATTAGGCATGCAGAAGAGATAGGCAGCTTTTTCAAGTTTCATGGGTCTTGGTGGGAAATCAAGGGAATTTAGTGGCAGGAAAAATAATTCGAAGTCTTTAAAGCTCTTCTGAAGTGATTTCTTCAAAGCCCACCTTTTGCATTTTACTGTAAAATCCTTAAGCTTGGAGATGCAAATCCAGGCGGGATGTTGTATCACTCAGGAAATTGCATGACTTAAATCTACTGTGAATGAATAGGCAGGCTGAGATTCATCTCACCTGCATAGAAATTTAGACATCTGTGCAAACTATTTCATTTCTTTTATCAGTGGGAGATAAGTAGCTGCAGGGGATGGTTCATCACATCCTAATGTGGGTGTCAAGGAGAAGTGGTTGGAATCATACTTTGGAAGTGCATTTCTCTGTCCTTTAAATACAGATCACTAACTAGAAGCAGATGGATCCCTTTCAGGCGACTGAAGTCAGGTTGGGTAGAGTCCACCAGCAGTTATATGCTAGTGAGCATCATGCTGCTAAAACTTGAATGTTCCACTGAAGAAGAGAGAAAACTGAATCCAAAACTTCTGACCCATCATTTAAAAGCTCTCAAGGCAAAAGGCATAGAAAAACATGCTTTATAAACCTATCTATCTACATCAACATTGTGAGAGCAGAGGGAGGATTCATTTTGCATTATATACTCAGCTCCCTAAATCTTTAAGCGACCTGTGAGTTATTTTGGACTGCATTTCATAAGCAGAATTATTCATTAGACTGAAAATATTACAACATGAAAAGTTTTGAAGACAAGATTTACTTCAAACGAGAATTTAGTATGTGTATTTTGAAAGTGTTCAGTGGTCACTGAACAGCAGCTGGTTTCTATGACTTCTACATGCTTTTAATTTTAATTTCTGAATGAGTTAGTTAAAAGAATCAGAATTAATTATATCCCTCTCAGGATTTTCCTTCTGAAAAAGACAGAAGTGCTCATGTAGCAATGGGAATGGACACAGTCCAAGGCAAGTCTCCTTTGAAAAATATGAGTTTAATATTTTTAAAGTAACATTTCAAAACAAATTCTAAGGTGTATTATATATGATTTCAATTTGTAAGAGCAAGAAAAATATTTGGAAAAAGAAGTGTTCAGTTATTAAATGAATAAGGAGTAGATTTGGGGTAATTTTATGCAAAAGGCCCCTTGAAAAATCAATATAAGGCAATATAAGACTTGGTTTGGCTTGTTACCACTTCAGCTGTTCTATCAGTTTTTGGACTCCTTTCCTGCTGTGCAGGAATTCTAGATTAGCCTGTTTGCAGAAGGTTTTCTGGGGTTCATGCAGTGTCATGACACAGCAGTGTTTGTACTGCAAGTGAGGCAATAACACGATGGCTTTCTGAAATGTGGTGTTTTCACAGGCAAACTGGGTACTAATGAGGTCCCCATGGGCAGCTGGGTGATTTAAATATTTTAATTCCCATCCATCTCTTTTGTAGCAGAAACTTGTTTACCTTTTACTGCTGAGAGAGCAGTACTAGAGAGTGGGAACAAAAGGCTCTTGTCTAAGCAGCAATTTTGGAAGGATTCTGTTCAATTCGTTCCAAACATCTCCCTGAGCAAGTTCCTTGACTCTCTTCCTCAAGGATTTCCTGCCAAATACAAGAAATAGGCACTTGGTCTATCTAAATTATATAAGGCTACCTTTCAACCTGAGGAAAACCAGCAAAATCCGCTGGTACATTCTCTATCCACCAGCCAAAAAGAGGCATAAACAAACTGACCGGTGATTTTCTGCTCTGTTTTAGATATCATCATGCCCTCTAGCACAGAAAAATAGCTACTTGCTGATGTTTGTGTATATATGTTGCTGTCACTTCAGCTCACACAGTCCAGAAAAATAAGTTTTTATTATCAACCAAGTTTCAGCCAGCTGCATGAGAACCCTGCTTTTGGCTGTTCCAGCATTTGGGACTTTCTGCTAATGTTAGTGTCACATGCAGTGAAAATGGGAATCTCCAGCTGGAACGGGCTGCTCAGAGCCCTGTCCAATCTGTACTTGAATATTTTCAGGGATGGGGCATTCACCATGTCTCTCTGCAACTTGTTCCAGTGCTTCATCACCCTCACTATGGGATATTTTTTCCTTTTATCTTATCTGAATGTGCCCTCTTTCAGTGTAAAACCATTACCCTTGTCCTATCCCAGCGAACCCCAATAAAAAGTCTGTCCTCATTTTTCTTACAAGCCTCCTTTAAATACTGAAAAACCACAGTAAGTTCTCCCCAGTTTTCACTTCTGTGGTCTGAGCAACCCCAATTCTCTCAACCTTTATTCAGAAGAGAGGTGTTACATGCCTGTGATAATTTCTGTGGCCTTTCTCTGGACTCTATCCAACAGCTTCACATCCTGCTATGCTGGGCAGCCCAGATCTGGTTGCAGTGCTCCAGGTCACAGGGGCAGAGTAGGGGGGGAAGAATCCCCTCCCTCGCCTTGCTAGCCACACCTCTTGTGACACAGCCCAGGACTCAATTGGCTTTCTGGACTGTGAGTGTGTATTACCAAATAATTTCCAGTTTTTCATCCCCCAGCACCCCAAAGTCCTTCTCAGCAGGGCTGCTCTCAATCTCTTCATCCCCAATACTGTATTGATACCAGGGTTTGCTTTGACCAAAGTACAGAACCTTACTGAACCCCATGAATATAATTTAAGGGTCTCAAAATAGAGAAATTAGTCATCTCAATAGAAAAAAAAAAAAACCACGCAGTTCCAATAATCACTAAAGTTAGTAAAAAATGGAAATGTAGATGATGGTGTCAGATTTTCCTTCTGTCAGAAGACCACTGATTTGAAACCTTGTCTATGATGAAACCTAAGGTAAAGAGTCAGAAAGCAAAGTTTTGTAAAACAAAATCCTAGTAAGCTGTTCCTCTTGTTTAGGTATTTTGAGGGTTTGAGGTAATAGTGTAAGAGCTGCATTTGTCATATCTTAAACGGTTTTTATTATTTTATTGAAGATTCTTGAAACATACAGACTTTTTCTCTTTGAAAGAAGAATGGGAAAGTTCATTCTGCAGATTTCAAAGAAAGACATTTCTTTAATATCCAAGCAGCGTGCCTCAACAGCCAAGGGGGCAAGATATCAGGCCTCATAACATTATGGAGGGGGATAATTTTCTCAAAGAAACAGCTGGGCAGGTGTAGGTCCAAACTCTTTATGTCTGCAACACTCCTCTGAATATTATATTCTTGCCCTCAGGTGATTTGGTGTGGTCATTTCTGTAACAGTTTTAGTTCACATTACAGCAGTTAATGTCATGAAAATTGTGTGAAGCTGCCATAAACTGATTCAAAACACTCCAGGAGATTACAGAAGTGAAGGCTTTGGATGTGCTGGGATTTCCTTACTGCATGAAATCTGACTGCAATTGATTTGCATGCAAAGATTGTTTACCCAGTCCTGCTGTTAGGTGGTTTATACAGAAAATAAGTAACTTTGCTTATTTCTGATGAAGCCTACGCTTTCAAGTGGAAAGCAACGCAGTGGCCCTAGATTGTTAAAGGACACCGTGAGACCAGGTATGCTCTGGGATTCACACTGGGAACCACAATTCCTCCAGCCCCTGGGCAGCCCTAAAGCTCACTTCTTCAGCCCATTCTAACTGCATAAAACTGCAGTGAGCAGTTATTGTTTTTCAAAACAACATTTTCTTTCCATTTTAAAGATTCTGAGACAGAGACACTTCTTGAGCTAAACATTAGAGTAATGTTTATTATTATGGCTTTTGAGGGATAGATGCCTTCTCTCAGGTAAAATAAATGGCTTTCCCCTCTTCTCCAGTATAACCATCTGAAAGCTAACTATGCAGTGTAAATTAATTTCCCGATTCCCTCTGAAGTTTCCTGGGAAAGATAATCACCTCTAGATGATTTCAGCTGACCTATTTTAACACATATTTAGAAGAAGATGAAACAGAATTTTGTCTTTCCCAGGGTTCTCCCCTTCTGAACACTCCCTGTGAATCTAATGACTGATATTTATTTTGTCTAGTGAGTTTGTACAGTAGAATCTT